TTAAGAACAAAAACAAGACAAATAGTTCTACACGATAAAAACTTTCTCACTCAAGAATGTTTTGACCGTGACAATCCTATCAATCTTGAAGACCTCAATTTGATGAATAATTCTCTCTTGTTCTCTGCGTGAAGTCGTTGTGTTTTCCTCTGCCTCGTATGCTTCTTATAGAGTTTTTGCCTTGTACAATCCTTACTAATAAGGTAAGAAAGTTATATTTAAACAAGGATTCTTTTTTAATTTAGAATCCTTATTATACACAACTTCCTTCCTTAATAATATATTTAAGGTTTTCCTTATTTGTATTAACTTGTACCTTTAATATACTATTTTGGCTTTGACAAATAACTCTATTGTACTTGATCTTGGACTCTAGCTTGACTTCTTTGCTGTGTGCATTTGCTACTGTTCTTTGCGCTTTTTGTCTACATCAAAGCGAATTAACAATTCTATCACATTCTATCATAATGCATAAATTGTACTTTTGTTTGCATAAAGCGAAGAAAAATTATATATACACATGCAAATACATAGATATATTTTCGTCCTATACACTTATTATTATAGAATATTATTATAGAATACAAATATTCTCCTGTCTAATTTTCTTTTGTCTTTCTCTCTTTCTCGTTTTATACATACACAAATTATAGAATTGATCTTTTGTATACAAATGCTTTTTTTTTGTATATATATAGCGTATTATACAATTTATTTCTTTATATATGTATAACGAATTATACAACTATTTTTTATATATGTATAGCAAAATATATATATTTATGTTTGATATGGAGCATAATTATGCAAAATATAACTATATACGATTTTTATACCAAATTAATCTTTAATCATGGCTATGTAATATGTGTTCTCACTTCAATTTTAATTGCTTAAGTTTATTAATTTGATTTCATGTAAATAATAATGCAGACAAAGATTTTCTTATATAAATAGAAATTTCATAAATACTGCACAGTTTAAATACCAAACATGAGAGTGATTGTGCCGCAACAATAAAAACTTATTTGAATTTAATATTTAAAATTATACAGTCCAAATAAAAAGTATTAGAAAAAAAAGGGGAAAATAACTCGATAAAAATAGTGGGAATTGTCGGAAAAGTGCAATTATTAATTGGTCCAAATTCATACTATGTTTTTATTTTCTTTTAATTATACTTTCACATTATCTACGTGGATCTTCTTTAGCCACTAATCGTAACTTTTAATTTTTTCACGTTTGGAAAGTTTTTCAAGAACTTTTTTTTGGGGTGCGCAATTTAAGGAAAAAATAATTAATCGAACATATTGTGTTTAAGTTATTACACTATTTTGTAATTGTCGTCATTTTCATATGAGTTGCTTTTTTAACAACCTTTTCCAACTCTCTCAACTACCTTTATTCAATGCTTGACAACTTTCTTCATGTGGCATATATACGTTTATTTTGAACACTCAGCTAAAAGATGTCAATTGCGAAACAAGGGGTGATGAGTGCTTGTCATGGGAAGAGAACTTCCACCTTGACGGAAAAGTTGTTGTTGTCCTTTTTCATGTCATATATCATTCGAGTCCTTTGAAAGTAGTCTCTGTATATCTACATACATGGAAATTAAGAATAAGGTGATTTCCATACACTCTATTTTTCGACTTTCGTGGACCTCACTACAAGATCTCACTAAATGCATTATAATATTGAAAAGTTAAAAATATTTTTAAAAACTGACAAACTTCAAACTCTAGATCCGCTTCGAAATAAAAACGTAAATGTGGAACTATTTTTAAAAGTCCTGCAAATTAGGACTAAAGAACATTCTACACCTATCGACCACAAAAAAGAAGTCAAAATCCAATTTGTTTAAGTAAGTCATTAGTTGTTTTACACCTCATCGATAACGTCACATATTTTTCACTCAAAATCCTATAAATATGGATCATAACATAAGCAACTTCTGTATCATCAATATTTTCTACATTCTTCTCTATTATAATAATTTATTTACTATACATACACTACAAAAATATTTTTATTTTCAAACGAAAAAAATGGCAAAATCATTTGAAAATGAACATCCAATTAAGGCATTTGGATGGGCAACTAGAGACACTTCTGGAGTTCTTTCTCCTTTCAATTTTTCAAGAAGGTATAAATTATTATTTTTTTAATTAATTTTGACGATGTGTTTTTCATTTCTATCGAAGATAAATTCTCTATAAGCTAAGCTAGGGTAACATCTGCATACATATGTTATAATAAAAATAGTTTTTAGCGATAATAAATATGTCTATTAATAAAGAGTGTTGAATTTTTTATTAGTATTGGTTATTTGTTATTGAATCCAATGTCGTTATAGGCTCCGACGACATTTAAAAAAAGTGCCAAAATGTAATTGTCACTAGCTCTTAGGATCGAATCCACACACACGTACTTGATGAATAAAGAATACAAGAACTTTAGAGATAAAGAGATGAGAGAGAAAGAGAGAAACCAATATTTCGTGGTAACACCCGTGAGTAAACTTTCACGGTGGTGGGGTATATATATATTAATTTTTCAGAGTGTTTAATATATGACAGTACAACAAATATTAATCAGGCTCCACAACCTAACACTAACAACCGCCTCTCATGTGCTAGTGACACTACGTTTCTCGAATCCTACCTATATGATTATACTGAATTTATTATTGTAGTTTTATTGTAAATTTGATGATGATCATTTTGTGTTAAATGGGTGCAGAGTGACAGGTGAAAAAGATGTGCAATTTAAAGTTATGTATTGTGGAATTTGTCATTCTGATCTTCATCAACTCAAGAATGAATGGGGAAATAGCAAGTACCCCATGGTGCCTGGGTAAATTAGTTCTTTTATTTTTGGTTTAAAAAAATTCATATTATTTTTTGATTGTTAGAATCCAAAAATATTAACTAGAATTTTCACTAACGAGATTCAGAAATATTAAGGCACGAAGAAGCTAATTCAACATCCGCTATATACACACATAAGTTATTTTTCGGCGAAGAACATAATTTACTAGCTAGTTTACCTTTTCTCTATATTTTTTCAATCTTCACATTATATTTGATAGCAATCCTGATTTGGTTCTTAGTCTATATATTTGGCCATATTGAGCTCTTGATACCTCAGTAAATCCTGAGTTGTTGGGACATGTTACTCCCTCTGTCCCATTTTATAAGAGTTAGTTTTACTCCGTACGGAGTTTAAGAAAGAACAAAGACTATGAATGATAGAAGTTATTGTGACTATAATTCATTTCAGTAAGGTTACAATGGTTATTTTAAAGTTACCTGTGTCACTTTATTTGAAAACGGACTAAAAAGGAAAGTAAGTCACATCGAAGTGTGACTAATTGTAAATATAATTGCAGGCATGAGGTTGTTGGTGTTGTCACTGAGGTTGGAAGCAAGGTGGAGAAGTTTAAGGTTGGAGACAAAGTAGGTGTTGGATGTATGGTAGGATCATGTCGAAAATGTGAGAATTGTAGCGTTGATCTCGAGAATTACTGTCCTCGTCAGATTCCTACTTACAACGGCTATAGCTTAGACGGAACCCTCACGTTTGGAGGTTACTCCGATGTGATGGTATCCGATGAGCATTTTGTAGTACGTTGGCCTGAAAACTTGTCGATGGACGCTGCTCCCCTGTTATGTGCTGGAATTACGACTTATAGTCCTTTGAAATATTTTGGACTCGATAAGCCTGGAATGCACATTGGTGTTGTTGGTCTTGGAGGGCTTGGACATATGGCTGTTAAGTTTGCTAAGGCATTCGGAACCAAAGTGACTGTCATCAGTACATCTGCTAATAAGAAGAAAGAAGCAATTGAGCGTTTGGGTGCAGACTCTTTCTTGATCAGTCGCGATCCTGAGCAGATGAAGGTGAATATGACTACTCGTTATCATTGGTGATCATCTTATCCGAATGTTTAATCTAGCAGTTTTATTTAGTTCGCCTGATTCTTGGTATTGAGATTTTTGAACTCACTCACAATCTCCCCCTTGTCTGGTTCTGTGTTCAAGTGTGTGATAGTTTTATCTGAAAGCTTAAGTTGTTATGACAATTTAAACACGAGAATGGGGGCTAACCTAACCTTTTGTTTGTTCGTCTAACAGGCTGCAATGAACACATTGGATGGGATTATCGACACTGTATCTGTCGTGCACCCTATTCTTCCATTACTTATGTTGATGAAATCTCATGGTAAGCTTGTTATGGTTGGTGCACCAGAAAAACCGGTGGAGTTGCCCGTGTTTCCTCTACTTATGGGTAAGCAAATTCAAGATTTCGAATAATAATGTAATGTGGTCTTTTTTTTTTGGACTAAAGTTTGTATGTGGAAAACAGGAAGGAAGCTAGTGGCTGGAAGTTGCATAGGAGGGATGAAAGAGACTCAAGAAATGTTGGACTTTGCGGCAAAGCATAACATAACACCAGATATTGAAGTGGTGCCAATGGAGTACGTTAACACCGCGTTGGAACGTCTTTTGAAATCGGACGTGAAATATCGTTTTGTGCTAGACATTGGTAATACATTGAACAAGAAATGAGAATAGGGAGGGGATCAATTATGTAGCTAGCAGTGTTTCCTCCATCATCTATTTATACTGCAGTAACTGAGATTTAGTGAATACCTTACAGAATAACAACCCTTTGCCTTTACTCTATTAACTAAGTGAAATCCGTATATCTCTGATACATCTTTTCACATGAAAATCATACAACAAAGTCAAATTCTGAACTTAGTACTCAAGAAGACAGCTTGCACTAATGAATTATGACGGAACACCAAGATATGATGCAAGTTGCAAGATGACACTGTACTTTTTCCTCAAAAAAATGACACAGAGTACTCCACAAGCTGTCACTTTGATTTTAAAAAATACATCTATTTCTTTTCTTTCCAACTTGTTTATCTCATAAAATGTTGTTTTGCAAGTAAAATGATGAACATCAGTTTCTGATGGATAGCATAAGAGAGTAAGTTCTTTTGGATGAGATGGCTATTCAAGTTTAGTTTTATAAATTAAATCTGGAGTACTCACTTTGTCAACATCTTCAGTCTCTTGCTCCTGCTTGGTTAACTATGGCAACTGCCGCATTAACTCCTCAGCAGCTACACAAGCCTGAAAAACCCATCAAAAGTAACAAATGCAGCACATAAGCAAACACAAAGAACTCAGAGAATGTTTCCCATGCTCGAGGAGTTAATATTGATATAGAAGCATCTACAAATTTAGTTGACAACTATGCCATTTTTTGCCGACTATAGGGGAGTCATGATCAAATATTACACAGCAAAGACAAAGAATTTTAGAAATACGTCCTAATAAAAGACTCCAGTTTAACCAATTTGAACAAAGGGAATAGCAATTGAAGTATTCGTCTGCTCAAAGACCATGATAATTCAAAACAAAAATGATAATTAATTATCTAGGAGAAAGCCTAGCTAGTCCTTCATTCACATTGAGATGGGTGAGTAAACTAGTATATACCTATATTTAAGCTAATAGTCTGGGCTTGTCGGAAAGAGCTGCAAAGTTTCTGAATAGACTGGCTTTATCTTGGTGTCGGTTCACCATTTTTCTGAGAAGAGGAGCAACTGGCCTCAATCTTAGGTTCATCTTTATACAACAAACGAAGTCCAAACATCTTCCTTTCTCCAGGGGAATATAACCTAATGCGCCCATAGTCATTCGGTGTTCTTCCATTTGCCTTAGATGTATCCCATAAGCCAGCAAGAGGTACCAAGAAAAAATGAATAGCAGAACCTGCAGGACATTCTGAATGGTTGAATAAGGCAATTTTTTGGATGATACGCGTCACCAACCTCCCATCATAACAAATCAAGTGAGCTTCGGCATTAACTAATATGCCAGAGTAACAAACAGCAAATCCCAAGAAGTTATTACTTACATACCAATCTTCAGGCAATTTGAGTGATATACTAAAACCATTTTCCTGATGGTGGAACCATCTTGGGATATTCTTCCCCCAACTCATAAACACTCTTAGTGACAAGGAATCTGAAGCAGAGATGTCATGCTGCAATAATGAAATAGTCTGAAACAACGAATTACAGATCCAATCATTACTCCAATCTGCATCGACTGTATGTAGCTGCTGTGGAAATTCTGGCAGCTGTGTAAGCCTCTTGCAATCTGATAAGTCCAGGGATCGAAGAGCACCAAGCTGGGCTATGCTTCGAGGCAAATACTCAAAACTATTTCCACTGAGATTCAACTCTTTCAAAGAGGATAAGCATCCAATGTCTTCTGGAAGTCCTCCATCTATTAAATTGCAGCCATTGAGTTTCAAAGTATTCAAGTTTAGCATCCCCATGAAACCGGGAAACTCTTTCAGCCTGTAGCAATCTGACAAGTCCAACGATTGAAGAGCACTAAGTTGGGCTATGCTATGAGGCAAATACTCAAAGTTATTTCCGTTGAGATACAATTTTTTCAACGAGGATAAGCATCCAATGTCTTCCGGAAGTCCTCCATCTATTAAATTGCAGTACCTAAGATCCAGATCTTCCAATGAGTGTAACCCTTCATTCACCTCAGGGAACACAAAGGACACTCCGTATTGTAAATTTTTTTTGGAAAAAGTCAATAATTTAAGCTTGTTCAAGCAGATGATGGAAGATGGAGGTCGTGAGATTAGGGTATAGCTGGCATCAAGCTCCTCCAAGTTTTCTAAATCACCAATCTCTTCTGGCAAGCTTTCAAGCTTTGAGCAGGACACAATTAGCTTCACCAAGCCTTTCAACTTACAAATGCTGCTTGGAAGAGCTACAAGGTTTTGCATAGAACTCAAAGTTAACTTTGTAAGACGGCATGAGTATTGCTGAATAATAGATGATGGTATTTCCCTTAGCCCAGACCAGTTTATCTTGATCTCTAACTCTGACTTCATTCTTCCGAGGATTTCTGGAAATTTCTCTAAACTATAGCACTCATCTAGATAAAGACGTTCAATAGATTCCACATTAACACACGGAAACCTCTTAAGGCGTTTACAACAAGTCAAACATAAATGAATGAGCTTTCTGCAACTTCCCACGGAATGGTGAACCTCTTCAAGATTCTTACATTTAAGCAGATACAAATACTCCAAATTTGGCATCCCCGTGAAATCTGGTGTTCCAATCAGGCTTTTAGAGTAGCTGAGATCTAGCTCTCGCAAAGACGGCAAATGCTGCTAGTCAAAGCACAGAAAGAATGAGAATTGGGCTGCTATTCAGAACACAGAAATATTGGAGAACTATTCAGAATACAGAAAGAATCAAATGACCTTTGTGTTTAATTTAATCCCTTACGTAAAAAATGAGCAAGGACATTCAGACATAAGAATCAACACAACATTCTGTGTGAAATTAGAAATCATTTTACTTTATTTTTATATCGAAATTACATGTTTGAGAAGCTAAATAAAAGTGTGTATAGAAATGAAAAAAGGTCAAAAATATCCTCAAGACATTAGAAAGAAATCAAAAAAATCTTACTCTCATTGAATCAAATTTGCTCCTAACCTTATTTTCAGGCTTGATATTTCCCCTATTACATTTAGTTGAACAAGTAACCTTTATTTGTTGGTCCACAATTATATGGCATTTAACAAGTAACCCTTATTTGTGCTCCTTAACGCATTAGAATATCCAGCCCATTTTCTAGGAGCAAAAATTAAAAACCGGCCCATTTGAAAGCAACACATGCAAATAAATGAAACACACAAAAAAGGAAACATAACATCCCTATATATGTTTTTAACAGTTAGAGTTGGTTAATAAATCACCCAATTTGAAGCAATTGTATGTTACATGTGTTTCCATGTCCGGTTGGGGTATTCAAAAGACACACTTATGTCAATAATAAAAAGTGTACGTATAGTCATGAGAATAGTTAAGATGTCCATCTAGAAGTTGTTGTCAACTTTGAGAGTCTATTTATGTATCTGAGAAAAAGAAAAATAATTAAAAATGAATTCAATAATAGTACCTTTGCTCCAGTCCATAATTGACGCAGCGAACTGCTCTGGAGATCAAGATAAACAAGCTTTTTAGGTTCAAAGTTTTCTAATAATGACTCCCAAGGATAACAACGACAGACAAACCAGCGCAAGTTGTTGGGCAGGTATTCAATGGAGTCAGCACAGGCCTGAAAACCGAAGATGGATAATAATCTAAGCCTTTTCATGTTTTTCATGGCTTTTTTAGTAAAGCATAGCTTTTTAACATGATATGTCCAGATTGCTTCCATTGCCTTGGTCCCCTGGAAAAAGGTTCATTAGTCTACAAAGTATAAAATCTGCATGCCAATATGACTACTTTCTAACTCCCTGTGATGACAAATATCATCATTTTGCATTACTTATTATTGCACGTAAAAGCTAGCACCATTAACAAAAACTTAAGTGTACATATTAGTTAGGTCTTTCTTAAGAAAATTATCGCTGAAGAGAAATACTCTATGCAATTAATTCTATAATCCAAATTTCTTGTAATACAATTTTTGACAAGTTCTTACAAATCAAAAAGTTTTTCATGTAGTGATAGAACGAAGTTGAAATTAAGACAGTACCAACAATTTTCATCTTTTAAATAAAAAGTAGAAGATGAAGACTAAAAATTGAATATTATTGCATTGTTTAGCCTACTTACAGTATTGTTGACCATCACTTCTTCGAAATCTTCAACGTCCCAGAGTCTGCTTTGTTCTCCCGAATCTTTTTGCATTTTTACCACATATCTACCCATATCTTGAATCAAATCATGCATCTCAATCTCATTATTTTTGGAAATGAACACGAGAGATTTGTCAATTAAGACATCCAATCCATGTTCAGCTCCAAAACCACAGCTCTCAAGGATTTGCATGACTAGTTTTTTTCTTTTTCCTCGTAAGAGACATGCTATATCTAGAAATATCTTTTGCTCTTCAAGCTCTAAACCATCATAACTTACTTTGAGCTTTTTAACAATTTCTAAACTGGAGTTTTTCTTTATTTGGTCAACAGTTCTAGTCCATTGAGTTAGGCCTTTATTATGCAACAAAGAACCCCACACCTTGAGGGCTAAAGGAAGGCCTTTAGCATGATTTACTACCTCCAACGAGAACTTCATAAAACGTTCATCTGGAATTTCTTTTCTGAAAGCATGTCGATTGAACAATTGAATAGCTTCTTGATCACATAGTGTAGACACTTCGTATATTGGATCATCCTTCTCTATCAAATGTTTATTTCTAGTCGTTACAACAATTCTGCTGCCATTACCAAACCAACCAACATCACCTGCTAAATACTCCAAATGATCACCATGATCTATGTCATCAAGCACAATTAGCACCTTCATAGAACAAAGTCTACTCTGAATCATGTACTTTCCATCATACTTATTATTGACGTAATCATCTTTCTTTCTTAACAGTTCAGAGAGAAGGGAATTTTGTAAAGAATGCAGTTGATTATAATTTGCATTTTCTTTAACATCTGCTAGAAAACAAGAAGCTTTAAATTGACAAGATAGAGTATCAAAGATGGCTTTTGCTATAGTCGTCTTACCAACTCCACCTATTCCCCAAATCCCTACGATCCGAACATCATTGACTTCTATCTGAAGTAGGGATTCTAGTTTCTCTAAATGAGCATTTATTCCCACAACATCTTGTAACGAAGATAAAGAATAAGCACTCTTGCATAATTTGGAAGAGATGTGATCAACGATCTGTTGAATATACTCTGCTTCGATCCTGCATAAATAAGAAGATTGATTTTGGAGAAAATGAGAAAGTCAATTATTAGTGACTATTTCATATCTTAATCAAATAGGAAACAATGTAGTTCATGGTAATAGGCTAATAGCAACACTCTATAGTTGAAGTATGAAAGTTGTAAAAGTTGTATACATTAGAAGGATTATTATGCATTCTCCTTGTATAAATTCTTGTTCTATAGTAGAATATGTCTAGGTTTCACAGAAGCATCCATATTTGAATGGAAATTATTCCAATTCCCATTTCATTAAAAAGCAAATATGTGTTTCTAACTTACCCGTCACGGATATCATATCCTTTTAGATCTGCGGCAGCAGTTAGGGCATTCCTCCATCCTTGCACCTTCTGCATCCCCTCATCACCGTCACCCTTATACCTTACTTCATGTTTGACAAATGCTTCTGCAAAGCTCTCGCTTTGGTATCGAACATGTGATGGATCCACATCATAGAAGATTGGTACAACTATTTGTCCATTTTTTTCCTCCTTGCATTCCATGATCTTCTCTAGTTCATTCAAGCACCACCTCGATGTAGCATAATTCCTTGAGAAAACGACGAGTGCAACTTGAGAATCTTTGATAGCTTTCAAGAGTTCTTTTGGGATGGAATCTCCATGCTCTAGCCTTTTATCATCTTGAAAGGTGAATATTCCCCTATTTTTCAAACCTTCGTACAAATGACCCGTAAATGTTTTTCGAGTATCCTCACCTCTAAAACTTAAAAAGACATCGTACTTCCATCGAGGACAGTATTGTGAATTACTCGCAAAAGAGGAAGAAGATGCCATGGATTCGATTGTACTGTCTGAAAACAAAACACAAATTGTGTTTACAGATTGTAGTTATGGTAATAGAAAGGAACTGCAAATTATGGATGAAAAAGTTTGTTTTTTTAAATCTTAAATTATGTTAATAGCTTTCTTTGTCAACAAAAGCAGACAAGTTGACTTCAAAAAACAAAAGAATTAATTTTTTTGGGCAAAGAAGTATCATCAACAAACTGTAATTATTAATTAAAATAAGGAAACAGACAAGTTGACTTCAAAAAACAAAAGAATCAATTTTTTTGGGCAAAGAAGTATCATCAACAACTGTAATTAATTTAAAAAAAAGGAAAGTAAGTCGTATAAATTAAAACAGAGGTAAGAGTACTATTCCTCAATTTCATGTAATTTTCATTAACATTTCCAACTTGACATCGTGGAATTTACATTCCGTAAAATATTCATCTTCAAACTTGATATCATAAGTTAACAGCAAAAACAAGTTTAAATTGCGGTATTTTACTGAACTATAGCAATTATCAAACAAATTTATATACAAAAAAAAAGAGATTATACACAAAATCAAGTAGAAAAAAGTAAGCACCAGCCTGAAAAGAACAAGATCCACGTTGCTAGTTGCTCCGGTTCACCGGAGCTAGAAGCTCTTCGCCGGAACAGTGCAGAAGACAGAGGGACTGACTGGTTTTGGGTTAAAAGGGAAGTGGGTCGGGTCAATTTTGGGGCGGGTTAATTTAGTTGGGTTGGGTTGTAATTTGGAGGGACTGGTGTGGTAAGTGACGTGACCTCTAATCTGATATTTGAAAATTGGTTATATTTAGGAAAAATTGTATATAATAGTAAATTATTAATTTAAATTAAATGCTATAAATATGCTTTAATTTATAGCAAATTATAGCTATTTTTGCCACTCTCCTTGGTGGAATCTCGTTTCCCGCTCTCGTTTGGTGTCAGTCTCGCTCGTCTCTCTCATTTTTTATACAAACGCAAATGTATAAAATGTGTTTGTGTTAATATAAAACAAGAGAAAATTGTATAAATACATATATTTTCGTTCCCTTTTATCCCCTCTCTCAGATTTCGCTCGCCATCATCGCCTCTCTCGCTTATACAAACAGAAATGAAATGTATATATTGTGTTTCTGTTTGTATAAAGTGAGAGAAAATTGTATATACACATGCAAACATATATATTTTCATCCTATACACTTATAATTATTATATAATAAAAATACTCCCTTGTCTAATTTCTTTGGTCTTTCACTCTTTCTCGTTTTATACAAGTTCAAATTGTATATAATTTCTCTCTTTCTCTTGTTATACAATTCGATTCAATTGTATATTCCCTATCCAAATCTCTTTTGCTTTTCTCTCTCTTTATTTTATACAAATTCAAATTGTATATAATCGTTCTATACACTTATAATTATACAATACAAATATTTTCCTGCCCAAGTCTCTTTTGTCTTTCTCTTTTTCTCGTTTTATACAATTCGCTTCATATACAACTATACATATATATATTTGGTATGAAGCACAATTACGCAAACTTTGTTATAACATACAAATATGAATTTTGTGTTTGCTATATGTGAACGTTATTCTATTTACGTAGTGGCATTATGGGCTATAATAGTAGGAATATATGTGAGTTCAATTTATCTATTTACGGATAAATTGAATGAGTTATTTAAGATACTTCAATGCTATTTGTTTTTTCATTACGTAAAATATAAAATTTATGATTGATCAAAAACATTACCTTATCAATTATTTTTTACGTTTTCTTCTTCTTCTTCGGCGGATTAGCTTACTATTAGTGGTTCCTTTTTTTTTAACATGAACTATCATTGTCTGTGTTAAAATTTATCTTGAAATAAATTACCCTAACTATCACTACCTAAACTATCACTATCCACCACAGTATTGATTTTTTTTTGTTCAATTTTAAAGTTTATTAATTTGATTTATCGATTATCGATTTGTAGATATACTAAACCATTACAGATTGAGAAATCGATTTATCAGTCTGGATATCAATTTAAACTTTAAGATTTTAAAAATCTTTGAAAATAACTCAGTAACAACATCCAACGGGGTGACAAGCTAAATGAACAATGCACATGAGTTGTGTGTGGCTGTCAAAAAAATATTGTGATATTTGGGGTTCAAACCCGAAATTTCTTCATTCAAATGGACACTCATTTACCACAACGCCAATGGCATGGCTTTTGTCGAGGGTGTCTAACTTTAAATATATATCCTTTAAATGTAGAACTTGATGTATATATACAACGTAATTTTCTAGCGAATGGTGTTCAATTGGACATCCTGTGATTGTTGTGGCTACGCCAGTACACATGAGTTGATAGATTGTATCATGATAAAAGGATTAACTATTATTATTACATTATAGAATAATCTAGAGTTTTGAAACAGAAATTTCATATTATATTAAACAACTTGCCTATGATAAACGTTTATGATTTGATTTAAACACAATGCGAGTACCCGTTTTCTTGTAACTTTGCAAGCAAAATTGCTCAGTAAAACAAAGAGAACATCCAATAATTCAACTCAATACATTAATAATTTTCCAATATCACTGTTTCCAGGAGCTACTTACAAATAATCATTACTTCATCAAGCTTTATATTATAAAATGTTCAAATAAATTAAACTTTAATAATAACTACTAAATTTCAGTAAGTTTCTAGATTTTTTTTTCTAATATAAGAATCACATTAGACTTCATTTCTAACCCTAAAGCCAATGTACCAACTCCAATTCTAAAATAACAAACAAACAACATACTCCTATAACTAACCTCTACTACTACTATTTTTTCTTATTTGTTCATTTTAAAATCGGAGTTGTTACTCTCATGAACTACTTAATCCGCGTGCTAGGTTTACCCATTATCAACGATTAATTCCTATTCACAAACTACTTCAACCATGTTGGTTTCGTAGTGGATCGATTATGCTTCTTCAGTAGAACTTGATAGTGGTGGAGAAAGTATTTGAGCTCTACATCCCCATGGAAGTATAGTTGTTCTACCACTTGAACTAGGTTCAATTATGCTTATTTGTGATGTGAGACGACTTACTAATACTTCCAATGCTTCTTTCATCCATCCATTTTGACATAGTTTTCTTGCTTCGCGCACATTCATCTACAAAATGGAAAAAAAAATACTTGTCAGCTAAGACGAAGATATGATACTATTTATGTCACGCGAGTATATCTTTATTGCATACCCAAGTTCTTTCGCGAATCTCTTTCTCAGGCCAATAGTCTAGTTCCTCTGTTACGAACAGAGGAAACATGTGCCCTTCGTAGGCAGTGTCACCGGTTTTGTTCTCAAAGTACCATGTTCCAAGTTTACACTGCAAAAGTAATCGAAAAAATCAAAAGATTTGTTTGATGTAATAAAACAAAGTTAAACGCGAAGATTTTGTTTCTTATTTTTCATATGAATCACGAACCTCAACTTCACCTCGTACTCCAGCTTCCTCTATTGTCTCACGTTGTGCTGCATCCTCAATCGTTTCATCTTCTTCCCAACCTCCCTACCATAACAAGAAAGAGACACTTGCATTCAAAATCGAGTCTTAAAAGAATGACATTTTTCATTTCTCTCTTGATTAACGAGTTATATGTCACATAATTACTTCTTCTATTAAACATCATGTTCAAATGCATTGGATACCTTTGGGAATAACAATCCTTTGCCTTTTCTTTGTGGACTTATTAGAAGAACTTCAAATGCATCTTCATCTATCAACGATAACTCAGTAAAGTCTTTATATCGATAAGGTATACATCTGCGGAAAATACATAATCAAAGAAGTCGATATATAGTTAATAATACATCAAAAGATATATCTTTCCACATGAAAATCGTATAACAAAGTCAAATCCATGTGATAACATTTAAAAAAACTTGTACATCCATGTTCAGTAATAGTCTTTCACTATTAAAATCTAGAAAATGGTATCAAAATTATGCCATAACTATAATTAAACATAAAAGAATGTCCTTTTTCCCAGGGGAAAAAAACAAGACATGTGATGAGTTGAATAAAGTTAGCCAAACACCACATGAATTTCTAAAATTTTTTTACAAGAAATCAAAAAAGAAAAAGAGACAACGAGCAAAGACCGAATCGGGATTTTTAGTTTATAGATTTTGAACTATAATTATGTTTTGCTTATTGGGTTTTAAATAAAATTACTTGTTTGAATCAAAGTTACCAGTTCTGTCGAAGTCATATTGACCTAAAAGTACCGACCCTAAAACCTTTGAAAGAAAAACTTCGTAAAATTCAAAGGAGAAATTACATCCAAAATATCAAAACTTTGATGCCAAAAATAAGTTTTAAAAAATCAACACATTTCTACAAATAAAAATGTGTAGAAAAAATCAACTCAAAAAGACAAGGGGGTAAATGTTGAATTAGTCAATTGCAATTTGGAATCATAGAGGAAGATGACCAATTGACCATCTCTTTTGGTTTTTCCTTGAAGTCAACTCTCCAAAACAAAATCATTTTTTAAAAAAAATAAAAATATCATGGTTAGCATTATTGTTTAAACAATATTGTTCTAACCAATTAATTAAATCATGAAAACAAAACATAAACATTTATATTACAAATTAACATGAAATGCAAAAGGGGGAGGTATGACTTTCATGGTCGATCGAACCTAGTAATTTTAATTCAAACCATGTTGTTCTCTTAAAAAAAATCCATTAAATAAGTAAAAGTCATTTATAAGTTTTAAATTCTAACTCCAATTTAGAATGAAGGATGAAGCTTTTGAACAACGGGTTCACAAAGTAGCCAACATTTTCGACATGAAACATAGATATACACCTTAACCAAGATAAAAACATACAATAAACATCAAATTCTTAACTTATAATTTCACAACGAATTTAATTTAAATTCTGAATTTATCTCTAAATCATTAATAAAGTTTCAAATCCCGACTCAACCTGAATGAAAGTTTTGATCAAGAATTTCACGAACTAACCAACATTTTCGACACGAAACATAAATAGACACCTCAACCTAACAAAATAAATACAACAAACATCAAACTCTTAACTTATAATTTCAAAAATAACGACAAATTCAGTTTAAATTCTGAATCTGTCTCTTAGAAGTTACACGAGGGTACGTACCCTACAACTTGACGACGACCCTTGTTGTAACGTTGCAAATGCCGTCCGGAGCGTGACACAAGAACCACCATATCCTTCAATTCCATGAATTCTTCTTGTCTTGCTTAAAAATGGTATTTTTTGGTTCTTTTTTTGAACCAAAAAAAAGAAAATAATAACTAAAAAATTAATCACTTTATTTGAAATCAAACAAAACTAGGCTTGAAAAAAAAATATCAAGAACAGAGAAAAATAAAAGTTGAGATTTTTTCTTCTTTTATTTTTTTTCTGTTGAAATGATTGGTTGTGTGTTATTAAGGGAAAAAAAAACGGTTAACGATATATGAATAGAATTTTTCTTCAAAATGCTGGATTTTAAATGGTGCATTTTTTGGGGTTGGCACGTGTGGGACTAGATCGGCACGTGTGAACCGGTTCAGGTAATAAATCCGGTTTTTTTTTGTTATTGTATACCGGTTTGAGTTGTGATATATGATTGAATATATAACTAAGGCCCACGCTCGTGGCATGGAGCGTGACTTTTGTAATTTTATTGATGTTTGATAGTTCGGGTCATTTTAAGCGTATTTCGAGTGATTTTATGGAATACATGTTATAATAGGTATCGATATAATTTTGGTTGTTAAAAACTGATTAGATAGGAAGTAACTATTTAGTAAATCATTTATGTTAGATTTTGAATATGAGAATCTCGTGATGTTAGCCTGTACTTCGTTAACTATTTGGTCAGACCCACAATCTATCCCTAGTGTTTAGGGTGAGTCTAACAACTTCAATTACGGAATATGTGTTAATGAAGTAGTAACTGTTACACGAATCTTATGTATTAAAGTAAGAAAATTTCACCAATATTTAATTATGTTGGAGAGGACCTCAAAAGCTTTATATTTCTTTAATCTTTTCGTT